AAAATTGATCTTTCATTTAAAAGAGTTTAAGATAATATTAATTAATTTGAAGTTAATAGTTATGATTAAAATTCTATAATAAGCTGAGCCACTTGCAAGTCAAATAAGCTAACTTATCTAGATTTAGCTTAAACCCTATAAAATGAGCTGCAAGTCAGACAAGTTAGCTTATGCTATAACTTAATTTGTATCTTAGTTCAGCTCATTGACTTGCATTTTCTTCTTTAAAATAAATAAATCTAAGAGATTTTCTTTGAAGAAAAATACTTTGATAGCGTTTACTTAAAGAAAAATAGCTTCAGTAATATTTTTTTTAAAGAAAAACAAATCTAATGATATTTCTTTTGAAAAAAATAAATCTAGTGACGTTTCTTTTAAAGAAAAATGAATCTGATAACATTTTATTTGAAGAAAAATGCATTCAGCAATATTTTCTTAAAAAAAAATACACTTAGGACTAAATTTCTTTAAAGAAATTCGCTTCTAGAGCAATTTTCTTAAATGATTTTACTTCTAGAGTAATTTCTATAAAGGATTTTAATTTTGAATGTGATTTCTTTAAAGGAAAAGCTATAGAGACGATTCCTTTCAATAAAATTTCTCTAAAAGTGAAATCTTTAATGGAATTCGTTTTGAAAGTAAATTCATTCTGAAAGCAAAATCCTTCAAGAAAATTATTTCAGAATAAAATCCTTCAAGAAAATTATTCTAAAAGTAAAATCCTTCAAGAAAATTATTCTGAAAATCATTCTGAAAATAAAATTCTTCAAAAAGATTATTCCAAAAATGAAATCCTTCAAGAAAATCATTTTAGAAATGAAATCCTTTAAGAAAATTGTTTTGAAAATGAAATCCTTTAAGGAAATCATTTTAAAAATGAAATTCTTCAAGAAAATCATTCTAGAAGTATCAGCTAATTTGAATTAGGATTTTGATCTATAAACTAAATATAACTCAACCTGTTATAATATAAATTATATAAATTATATTCAGATTTAAGGATTTAAGTACACTTTAATATGTAAAATCAACTCAAATCTATAGAGTCAAATTGAATTACATAATGATTAATCAGATCTTAATCCTTTTAGAACTAGTTTTAATAAATACACATGTGACTTATTATTTACATTAGAAAAATAAATATTCAATAATTAAAATATTTGTAAGTTCTCCAAAAAAATGTGATAATAATTTTTCACAATTCAGATAATTTTTTTATTAAAAATTGTGAAATAAAAAAATAATACATGTATAATTTCTGCAACTTTGAATTTCTTTCATATTACACAGTAAATTTCTGTAATTATCTTCAAAAAATATTTGATATGATATAAACATTATTATTAAATTACTAGCCTTATATTATGTGAGGATATTTAAGTATTTATAATTAAAATTTTTACACGTAAAAAGCATTCTAGTAAAAATTATTAGCAAAAATTTATATTAATATTTATTATGAGTAGTATTTATTAAAATTATATGCATAGAGAATTTTATTTATGAAAATTTTAACATGCTATAACTTTTATACTATCTTGAAAAGTACATTCATTTTTTGTATATAATATTTGCATTAATAATCTTGTTATAAAATGCAAGTTATTAATAAATAGAATTCGTTATATAAAAGATAGTTATAAAGATGTAGTAATCATTTGAATATTATCATAAAACAAATTTTCTGAGTGATATTTATATAAATATTTTTTTTTAATTTGCAAGTAAGGATTAATATTAAGTATCACAAAATTGAAGAAAATTTGTAAAAATGTTATAGATAATTGATAGTTAAAATAAATAATACATTACATGAAGCAAATACAAATAAAAGAGCTCAATTTATTATGAGATAACATAAAAAGTATTATTTAATAAAGAACTTGAAATAAAATTTCTTTAGCGTGATAATTTGCAAAGGATTTCATCCTCTTTAATAACTTGGCATAAATAAAGGAAATAATAAAATATTATAGGTTAATTAATGAATGTATTCATTATAAAAAAATGAATAATGAACTTACTAATTATTTTATTAAAATTGAGAGTATCACTAATGGTATATGCCTATTTAATATAGAAGTTTATTTCCTAAAACTATTAAGATATAACCTTATTTCTTAGAACTAGATCATAAAATTTTTACCAGATTTTTTTCAAAATCTATCAAAATTTATCGAAAAAGAAATCATTCTAAAATGAAATCCTTCAAGAAAATCATTTCAAAAGTAAAATTCTTTATGAAAATTATTTCAAAAATGTTTTCTCTCAAAGAGAATTATTCTGGATATATTTCTTTTAATAAAAATCATTTCAGAAACATTCTTCTTAAAGAAAATTGTTCTAGAAATATTTCTTTCAAAAGGGATCATTTCAGAAATAATTTTTCTTGCAAAAAATCATCCTGAAAATATTTTTCTTACAGGAAATCATTCTAGAAATGTTTTTTTCAAAAGAAATTATTTTGAAAATGTTTTTCTTAATAGAAAATATTTTTCTTGATAGAATTTCATTTTGAAATATTAAATATAAGCTGAATAAGCTAGCTTAGTTTAGCTTAGCTTGTCAATTGATTTTCTAAATCAATCTAAGCTGAACCAGAAAAAAAGTGGCTCAGCTCAAGCTAGTAGTAATCTAAGTTAAGCCAGATTATACAGAACTTTAACTATAATTTACAGCATAATATAAGTAAATAATATTTTTTTTATTTTAAAATTTTTTTAAATATAAATTTTCAATTGTTAATTTTTTTTAACCATTTAATTTATACTCAAATTTTTACAAATATTGCTAATACAATTTCTTATAAAAGAATGTTTAATGTACTTTTTGATTAGATATATCAGTTAACTGAAAATAATTTACAAATTTTTTATATTCATAAAGAGGGTTGAAAATGTATTTAGGTGATTTAAATCAGATATAAGTGAAAGGATTAAAAATGGCTTTGCATAAAATCCAAAATACTCTTACTTGAAAAGAGCATTTTTATATATTTTTAAAAGTTATTGAATTCATTATAATGGTAAAAGTATTATTTATTTTATTTTATTATATATTTGATATATATTTATTTTATATTTATTACTTAAAAAACTTTATTTTATTATAGGAATATTAAAAATAATAAATATTCATTGATATAAAAGTATTAATGTATAAATTTTCTAATGTAAATAATACTGAAAAAATTAACCAAATTTTTGAAGAATTGAAAGTATTTGATAAGCCAAATATTAAAGATACACTTATATATTTTGATATATTAATTAAGTAATTATTTGATTAATTATTATTGTCTGAAGCATAAGAACAATTAATTTCTATATCAAAGTAATGCAATATCATTTTGTCTTGCATATTGATTAATCAATAGAATTCTGCGTTATTAGTCATGTGTATTTCACAAAAATTGAATATTAAAAAATTTAATTTTTATTATTTTTATTATAAGTCCTATTATGCTTCAGACTAGAATGATTACTGTTTCCTAATATATAACTTCATTTATGAAATTCAGATTGGATCATATTTTATTCAAAATCCTAGATGCACACTTCTCTAAACAAAGTGTATTCATCTATAGATTCAGATATTTAGAATAAAGCTTCTGATAATATTAATGTAGCAGAATCATATCATGTAAATTCAAATAGTAATGAAAAATCTTTATTCTTATATTAGCTATTTAAAGTAAGTTAATAATAAAATTATAAAGTGTAATAATAATATACAAATTAATAACTCTTCTTTTTTTTATTAAAGCTAAAAATTATGATAAAAGACATTTTATTTTCTATGAAATTAAAGACAATTATGGAATTTCAAAATCTGAATGGACCAAGGTGTTGTAGCATAAGAAAACAATTTTCTAAACAAGCTGGTATGCATAAAGTGAAATTTCTTATAGTATATTTTTATTTTTGATTAATTAATATTATAAATTTATTTTTAGTTACTAAAAGTTACTAAAAAACCAATCAAAAAAACAAAAACCAAGGCTTCAATAAAGTACAACAACCTGAAGCTAAAAAAACAAAAATAATTACTTGATAGAAGATAATATTGGTTTTAAAATGGAAGAACATTGATTATTATTAAGAGAATGGCAATTAGAAATGAAGAGCGTGAATTGAAACTTAAACGTAAAAAATTAGAATTACAAAAATTAAAACATGATTTCAATATCACTCAATAATATTTGCGATTTGTTGAAAATTAAACTAGTAAATTTAAACAACTTGCAGTAAATTCTAAAATGTATATATCATTACAATTAAAAAAATAAAGCTTTCTTGCAGCAAATTATTAAATATTAGGATTAATTAGATGGTTCTTTGTTAATAAACAATACTAATACATATGGCTATATGACGCAGTGAAATGGTCAGAAATCAGAATATTTTATAAGTATGCATGAATTCAAAGCGAAGAACTTTTTTCCATCCAAATCACGGTTTTTATAAAAAAAATTATTTCAATATAAAATTTACCCATCTCTAAAAAAAATTTATTAAAATCATGTGACGCTCATTTGTCTTTTATGTTTAAAACGATAGAGTTTTTTTGCGGAGATTTATTGGGTACACATTATAAATTCTAATAGTCCGATTAATCAGCATGAGTCTTATTAAAATTTATTCAGTCTGCATCAAAAATTCGCATGACTGCACTCAAAAAGATCGTCGGACTGTACTCCGTAAGGTATAACTGATTTAAATGGAATCAAATCACGGAAAAAATTCGGCATCAATAACTAAACCTTCTGTTTGTAAGCAAAAGGAGTTTCATTATTACTCCGGATAAAAATTGCCAATATACATTTTATACTTGGTTCTATTTATACTTTAACCATATCGGTAGAATAAGAGAAAAGCTTAACAAATAATCGGGTATGATCGTCGATTTTTTGTAATAGGGCTATCATAAATAATAAATACGCCTCAAAATTCCCTTCTCTCCCTTCTCTCGCTTTTCAATCAACAAAAAAAAAAAAAATGGCTATTGAATTAATCACATTTCCGGAATCTGGTTTCACTCTTTTTTTGGTCAGCATTTGCAAAGAATTAGGAATAGATTATAAACTTAGCACACCAGCTAAACTCGAAGATATAAAGACACCAGAATATTTGGCCACCAAACATCCCTTGTGAGCAATTTTTTTTTTTTTACCCGATGCGAAATATTTACGTCTCAGAAACGGAAAAGATTTATAGTTATTGATTTATACGCATTTTACAGCGGAAAAGTTCCTGTTCTCATCGATGATGGATTCCAAATTTACGAATCTAGTGCAATAGCTCGTTATTTGATTAGTAAATATCAAAAAACCAAAACTTCTACCATTCTTATTCCTACCGATTTACAAAAGGCTGCTTTGGTGAATCAATTCATTTCGGTGGGATATTCTTATTTTAGTGATCCGGCAAAAAAATTAATTTCTCAAGAAGTTAACGAAAAACGTGAGGGTGTCGCTAAAGATCCTGAAGTTGTTAAGGAAGCTTGCGAAGAGCTTAATAAGGTCTTTGATATTTATGAAAAGTTATTGGAGGGTAAAGATTATTTAGCTGGTGAATTTTCTTTGGCCGATATTTTACATAGTACTATTATGCAATGTATTGTTCATTTCGGTCATGGTAATTTAATTGAAAACCGACCTATTATCTCTAAGTGGTGGAAAAACCTTAGCGAACGTGAATGTTGGAAAAGTACTATCGCTGAGAACAAACATTTTTCTACATAAAAAAAAATATTATACTGTTTAGATTGAATGTTGTTAAATAAATAAATTTACAAATGAATTTTTTCGTGAATAAAAATTTGCATATCAATTAAGATCTAACGTCCATAATGTTACCTTGATCCGTGTGTTTTTTTTTGATAAATTTCACATGATCAATGTCCATCCCTAGCGTCACCGACAAAAAAGCTCGGGCACGTGACTTTTTGTGGCTTGAACATGACATATCATTGGTTAAAATTACAACTTGTTTTCAAAGCCAAAATGCGTAAGAGTAATTTTTTTAATTTTAATTTTAATGATAACTTTATTGATATTTGTGGTGAAAATGCGTAAGGGTAATAAAATTTCATTTTTTTGCCTATTGATTTTATTAAAAATTTTTTGAAAATACAAATATATATTAAATTGTATTGACGCATTATAAATTATTACATTTAATTAACGCATACATGAATAAAGTTGACGCATATACACCGTGCCTTTAATACATATATTAAATTCCCAATATTCATAACTAATATATGAATAATTATTACAAATAGCGAGCATTATTTGTATGACCTTTCCATGTCAATGACATTATCCTTTTTCTTTGATATTTTTCAACATCATCAACTAATTTAGTAATAGGCTCGAAAGATTTTTTTATAGCTTTGCACCATTTAACGTTTCCAACCAATTTCTGTTCTTCAATAAGAGAAAGTGCCTTTTTAGTCACATTAATCAAATCATCAAAAATGTTATTATCATCTTCAATCAATTCTTCATTTGTAAATAAATTACTATAATTATCATTGGAATGATTATTATTGATATTCTCCTTATTTTTTATAGATGTAAAAATGTTGTTTTCTATCAAAAAAGGTGGCTTTGAATTTCTCTTTACATTGTAAATTCAGGCGTAACACTTCCTTTTTGATATACTAGATGTTTGTAAATATTGAAGCGACTGGTTAAATAATAATGACATCTACAAACCTATTGATTAATATTGGTAATATATGTATTATTAATGTGTTTCTTGGATACTTTTTCCATTCACGTTTAAATCTTTGATTCACTCAGGTTTTTTGCATCCAATTTGAATTTTTTGTAGCTTCTGTTATTGATAAATAACCACTTTTTTCATTAAAATATACACAACAAGATCTATTTTTGGTCAAAAAAACTTATATAAAAAATCTCTTTGATAGTTTTTCAGTAGTCTTCAATAAACATAGTAGTTTTTAATATAGAAATCATATCTATATAAGATGATTATACCTATAATTTCCATTTTAAATCACTATACTATTCAGTCCAAAGATATGACCAAAGTGATATTAAATAATTATTTTTGCAAAATGTATACATTTCTTGAACAGATACCTAATAGATAGCTTTTATAGTTAATAACTATCCTTCAACTGTTAAAATTAGTAGATGCCGATGTAGATGATTTTTCATAATATTGTATATATTATCTCAAAGTTCTTTAGAAAAGAATTGTACTACCTATTGAATACTATTAAAAGGAAATCTTTTTCTGAATTCTAAAAGTGGATTATAATTCAAAGATCTGGTAGATTTATTACTTGATAGTCTTTTTTAACATGCCATTTACATAATTAAATTTTATATCATGATCATATGAAATGTATTGCATTAATTTATACAAAGTTCTTGTCTGTTAAAAAGAATTTAGGCAACAATTTCTGATTTTAAAATATAAAAAAAACTTTTATATTATACCCGTTTGTATTCTTTCTTTGCATTAGCCATTATTTTCAAAAAAATAAGTATAATAGTGAAAATCTGGTATTATATACTTCTGCATATAAATTATATAGTTTAAATCCCATATTATTAGTACTATAAGTAGCATCAATTCCATATTCCTCAATCCTAAAATTGCTTATTTGCTTAAGAATTCCAGTGTCAAATGCTAATATATAGACAGATTCTACTTTGTATAATAAAATTTTATATTGGATTTTCAAAAGCTAAATATATGCAATTTTAAATACATTATTATAGCATTTATATCTATTTTAACCTAACTGTGTCTACTAAAAGTAAATCTGTTTTTGTTTAATAAATAATGGTAAATTAAAATTTTTATTACTAACAATTTGTAAATTTCTCTTGGAAGAAGATCTATATTACTTTTTATAAAATCTTTAATATTTTGTGATATAGAATTATTTATTGGCTTAGTATGTAAATCTTGATAATATAAAGTAATTTCAGCTATACGTATACCTTCATTAACTGAAATTTTTAGAATCCTATTACATTCAAATCTTTCTATTGATGAAATATCTCTTTAATTTAATAGATCTGCATTTTTGCGTGATATTTTTTAGATAAAATATCTCATTATGAATAGTAATATTAGTAAGTGATTGACTTTTTACTTTTATATTATTGATTATAAATTCAACTATATTTATCAGCATCTTTAATTAATTTAACAATTTTATTAATGAGGTCTTTACTTGAATTGTCATAGTCATTAATATTTATTTCACAATAGAAATACCATTCTGATTGTACATTTTTTAAAAATTCTATAATAGTTTTGTAAAGTAGTCTATATCAATAATTTATAATTCAGTACTAGATAAATTATTATTTGTATTTACAAAACTTTTTCATTTTTTAGAAAATCTTTAACAACAATTATTATAAGTTTTAAATTTTTTAAAAACATCTTCAGCTCCATTGTTAATAAATTCTGACCAAACTTTAAAAGTTTTATAGCTATTGCAGTAAATATTTGCTAAAAAAGATTTTATTTATTTAAGAAAAGTGTATTAATACAAAAAAAAATATGCTTAGAAACAAATTTTTTTATTTTTCTTTTATTTATTGATATTGATAACAAAAATTAAAAAAATAAATATATAAAAATTAATAGATGCAATTAATAAATATATAATAAAATCTAAATGTATAATAAATATGTATTAAGTAATAAAAATATGGCAAATTAATTGAAAAAACTGCATAATACTTAAGCTATAAAAGTTATATATCTGAGTTTTTTATTAGTAATGCTAAAAAAAATAAATTACTAATGAGCTGTCAAGTATGTAACATAAAGAACTATTGATGCATACCTTAATGATACCAGACAAAAAGTTATTTTAGCTCAACTAAATATTCTTCTAATACAATAAATGATACAATTAAAAGATACAAAGAAATAGGTTTTGCAAAACCTGAGAAATGTTCTGATCAACCAAAAATATTTACTCAATATGATAATCAGATTTTACAATGCATTATTCATGATAATCAGTTTGCTTCTCTTAATAATATTATGGATAGTCTAAATTTTAAACTTAACACTACTTTACACTATAATACTGTCAAAAATACTTTTATTATAAAAGTTTAGATAGTTATGCTACTCGTAAAAAATCTCATTTAATTGCAAAATAATAAAAAAATAGATTTAAATAAAGTAAGAAAAAACGTAACTAGAAAGAGAAATAAAAGTAAATAGTATAATCTAATGAATTCAGATTTATTTTTTTTAAGTCAGATTGTTATATAAAGTTTGCACTTTTAGTTAGAGCTAAACTATACATGTGATATCTGCCTATATGTGATCTATCAGATCATATGATAAATATAATATCAATTTGTGATTAGATAAAATTTAAGTATAGTTGATCAACTAATTTAAATACTTTAAATACTCAAATAATTTCTGTTACCTAGTTTAAATAATTAATAATTACTGGTAAAAATCTAACCTATACTCTTATTAATTTAGGATTAAAAGAAATTAATTTAATAGTATATTGGATTTTGTATAGAATTTTTGAAAGTATTTGATTGAAATGCTTTACAAATATAAAACTTCAATAAGAATATAAACTAATTACTCAAATTATGATATTATGATCTTATAATAATCTGAAGGCTTATTCATAAATTTATGATTTTATTATATTGTAAAACTTTAACTATAATAATAGATTATTTTAAATACTATATACTTTCTAAATACTTTAGTAATCTCAGAGCTTTTTTTTAATCTAAGAAAGACTGAAGTCTTATATTTAGAGGTATAATCTATTATATTAAGTATCACTTTATATTTCTTATCTTTATAGTAATCATAAATGAGAAACAGTATATTGCACTAGTGTATATAATTAAAATATGTTATTCACCTGTAGCTAGCTCTAGAAATATATTTTAAAGAGTTTTATTGATTTGGTATAACTTCTGATTTTTTAAAAATTTTTGCATTCACTTAGATAAAGGCGATGCCCTTTTTTTTAAATACATTTCTTAAGGATTTAAAATTGGAATAATACTCAATCAAGTGATAATATGTATTATGCAATATGAGATTTTTTTGATTCTTTGTATTTTATCAGAATCTATTATAATTTATGATTGATTCATTCTTGAAATAAGATTATCATAGTAGTACTATAAATTAAGATAAAATATCATACTTAATCTGATATATTTACAGGAGTTTTATAATAAGCTTTAAGATGAAATTTCTATTAATAAAAGTAATAAGAAAAAATTTACTTTCTCATAAAGGATCTTGAATAATATTATGAAACTATCTTATTATAGAATAATATTATCATAATTTACTAAAAAGAAATAGAAAAATTTAAATCAAAAATATCTAATTTACAAAAATAACTTAAAGTTTTACAACAGAATAAAAAATTCAAAGATAGAATTAGATCTATTTAAGATAGCTAAATCATAGAACTTAAAAGTAAGCTTAAGCATTTTAAAGTAAGAATTCAATTTTTATAAATAAAAATATCTCAATAAATGCTTTAATTATAATAATGACTAATCTTATCACAAATATTAATAAAAAATTAGATTAAATCAAAAATCACATTAGAAGAATTGATGTATCTATATAGGATCCTATTAATATTATAAATAGTATTAAAAGTTTATTAAATAATATTTAAATTACTTTGTAAAATATTATAGCTGAGCAGGATTTATACTAAAATCTATTAAAT